CTTTCTTTCTTTCTATAAAATTTAAAGATTTCCCCGTCCATATTTTAGACCAAAATTCCACCCAGTCGTAAATCTTCCGATGTCGTTTATTCTATTTTGGTTGATCACTTCCTATATAAATTATATTTTCCTTGAATCTTTCTTTCTTCGTTTCCTCTGATTCTGTCTCTTTTCTATTTTCTTTATTAATTACCCCTTCATTTGTATATCTTGTCTTTTTTCATTAGGTATTTTAAGTCAGATTTCATGTTATATACTTCGTGCTACGTTGTTTCATGTTATATCATGCTATTTCACGTTATTTCATGTTATTTCATGTTATTTCATATTATATGGGCATTTTTCGTCATTTTCTATTTTTTCTTCCTAATATAATGCATTTGTTATTACTTTCTTTCTCATGTTTTTTATTCCTTTTTTAGACGTTGTGTGACATTGTCATCTGATTTTTCGTGTTCACTAATAGATCGGAGACTGTAAACATCTTTATTATTTAATTCATTTAATGATTCTATTGCATAAAAATAGCGCGGAATAATGATATTTTTAGATTWAAAAATCTAAGTGAAATCTGCTCTCAATTCGCATTCGTCGCTTTTTGAATGTTTTAGAATGACAAAATAATTTACTTGAAGTTCGATGACAGAATTCAACGACATTAACTTTGTTATGGTAAATTGAGCTGGACAAAGTTCTGACTTTGTCAAACATTGCTCATTATTACAACACCGGATTGCTCTCACTCACAGTAACAATACTTCGAATAGTAATTAAGCTAATATGAAAATAAGTTTGAAAATTTTAGAATAATTCCCGCAAATAAGTTCCTGATTTTTTTWATCCCTTTTTTGCTATTTGCCTCGTAAAATATATTTATATTTTAAGCGAAAAGTCGAATAAATTCATCTGCTGATTTTTTTAAAAACTTAAACAAATTCTTATCCATGTAACTTCAAAACGATTTTTTTCGATTTAGGAAAGAAGCCTTCGCAGGTTTTCTCAGTCGAAAATGATGGGTTCATTTTTCGTCTTGACGAATATCCCGAGGACATTTCGGAGTTTGAGTTGCGTTTTCAAACCTTATTTTAGATAACTATCAAAAGCGGGGGTTTTTCTTTATCACGTTCCCGGCTAATTCACTAGAACTTCTCGTCCAAAAAAAAAAAAAAAAAAAAAAAAAAAAAAAAAAAAAA